CGGATCTCAGGGTTTTAGACAATTCTAAATCATATTTTTTAAAAAAGAAAATTATAAGTGTGGCTATTGAGATATGCTCTCTTGGGCTTTATCAAGATGGGGAATTTTCAGGTGGTGTGCATAGGGCGGGGCGCAATTAGTTTGGTGGCGTGAGGTCAAAACTGAGCACATAATTTGTTGTGGGCCGGATTAGCTTGAAAGCCCCCGAAAAGATAGATAGTACCCTCCAACTAGTACTACTATCTCCGCCCAATCTGACAGATATACTATATGATATTATCGAATCATATTCAAATATATATAATAACAATTCCCTTCTCTCTCTCTCTCTCTCTCTCTCTCTCTCTCTCTCTCTCTCTCTCTCTCTCTCTCTCTCTCTCTTCCTCTCTCTCTAACTCCTGTGTTGCTGATATCTGCGTGCGTGCGAACATCGGATGATGTGACTGACTGATTGCACGCAAGCGTAGTGAAGAGCTTTACTTCTCTTTAATATACCTACGATCGGCCGACACTCCTTTGTGCCCGCCCGCATGCGTACGAACGCACGTGAATCAGCGACAACAGCGTCGGTATTTAGACTGCGACACCGTCGTTTTAATCAGCACCTGAATGAGTCGTCGGTACGAGACAGAACTGATCGATCCGTCTAGAATGGGGGTCATAATAGATGGCGGACAGCGTTAATTAATGCACGTCTCAACGGTCCGTCAATTTTTTTTTTCTCATATGAGAAAACAATTGCACGGACGAGCGCTCATCTATCTCTCTTTATTGTACGTTCGTTACGCATTCACGCGTGTGTTCGGCTGCGATATGAGCATTCGAATTATTTTGAACAAAATATTATGTCTACGTGATATAATTCCTACAATTTGCTGCACGTTCCCCCGACAAATATTCTATCGAAATCAAGATGATACGATGCGGAATTGTGTAATCCACATCTGATTATATGTATACAAAATATTTCGAGCAACATATATCCGCTTCGTATGACACCTACATATTTCTACGCTAGTTGTTGCTCGTGTAACTAAAATATAATTTTACTGTACTGGCGAGGTCTCGGTTCACTTCTCACCCATCCTCAACTATAGCTAGAATATTACGAGAAGCAGTAAGAGCTGAAAGGCGCCACCAATCGGAAACGTTTCACAGATAAACGCACGCACCATGCACGCACGCACAGGAAAAGAAGACGCTTGACGACACCGAATGACCGATGGAATTGACGTAAATGAACGACCGATGGAATGACTCCTCAAGCAGTGGCAACCCTCTGCGTTACTGATAGATTATTCGATATGGAAACGGTCGAAACAAGGAAGAATAAATAGATGAGCATGCGAGCGTGAAGTACAGATAAATGTCACCATTGGAACAGAGTGGGCTAGTACGGTTAGCGAGAACGTATACACACGCACGCACACACGTGCACGCACACGCACACTCACACACACACACACACACACACACACACACACACACACACACACACACACAC